AAAACACCAAAATCAATGATTTTTTTCAGTGGCTGTGTGACCTTGTGTCTGACACATTCATATGCAAATGACTAATCTGTGAAACAAACAGGGGCGGAGACAAACCACTCAAATGTTTGGAAACACTCATTGTGTGTCAGATAGCTACTGATAACACATCCTAACATTGCTTTGTCTTGAGTTTATCTTTGAAACTTATAGGCACACAGATTAAACCTGTGTTGTTGATTTTGGAAAACACTACTGAGGCTGCCTTGCTTCCCTTTAGAAAATCTACATTTTAACCAACTTACATGACATTCTATGTTATATTGACTTTATCATATGAAAGTTTATAGTGCATTTCATCAATTAATAAATAAATGTGAAAATCGTAATTTTCAACACAAATAATAGTCTCGCTACCTTAAACTGTCCATTATTTCAGTAACTATTGACACCGATATCTATTCAAATGCCTGTAATTTTGCAGCGCACATTTGTGACGTTAAAGTCGTTCGCGGGTATTTATAACTATTTAAGAGAGTGAAAATGTTATCACAATATTTTGTTCCCAAAGTTCTATTTAATTATTATAAAAGATTTTGATATACGTCATAATATTTTTACGAGGTACGAATAAAATGTTTTTGGAGAAAATCGTGTTATAAAATACCAAAAATTGACATTTTTAGAACAATTCTAACATGAATCCATGGCACTATATCATGAAAAATGTATTTCTCAGAATCTCCTAATAATTCCTAACAAACAGATTTAATCACTAAAATAACATGCTATTTTCTCTATACGTCGCCAATCGATTATTTTAGATATGCCGGTATATTTTCCCATAGCAACCACAATATTCAAATTGCTTTACAGTGGCGGACCCAGAGGGAGCAGGGGTGCATGCCCCCCCAAACGCATGATGATTCATATGATCTGGATTACGCATATCTTCTCTGCGATTTACGCTCCGTATATCTTAAGCGAAGCTTGGGCCCCCCGCCGAAAAACACAACCAGTAAAATTCAGCAAATGGATCAAGGCATTATCCGATCATTCAAAGCAAATTATCGCCGCGAACTACTGTTGCAACTTTTGCTGGATCATATAACATCACTGAACACGAGCTTGAAATCCCGCAAAGGCACGAGGACAGGGTCAATCGTAGTCATTTAAGAAGTGCTGGATGAAAGGACTTGGACCTGCTTTTAGCATAGAACTGACCGCTAATGACAAGGTCGTCAATAACCCCGATCTGTTACTCATCTGATCGACACTGCCGCTTCAATGGTTTGGCCACGGACTATACCGAGAATGCTAGTACATTAATGAATTGAATTACTGCTGACGATGATATTCCCACGTTTGAACTTTTATCTGAGGGGCATCAGTAGCTGTGAAACACCAATACCATCCGACGAGGAAGAGGAAACAGAAAAAGAAAACATGGAACCTCCCCCAACTTTAACAGACGCAATAAAAGGACTAGAAACTGCATTAGAGCTTTTTGACTGGTAACGACATTGATGGTTTGAAGTTGGTGCAGTTAAAGGGACTTATTGATTGTTGTAAAACAATCCAAAGTAGGAAACAACGGCAGGCAAGCATAACCCATATTTTTAAGTAACTGTTGCTCGGTTTAATAGATGAACAAACAATGAATAATTTAATGTAAACACTGATAACAGTTTTCATTGTAGTCGCCATTTCGCACCCTTTTACATGTACGTGTATATGATCAATGACAGCCATTTAATAAAGACACTCCTTTCCTGTGTGGTGTTGATTATTTTTATTCTGCCCCTTTGTTTGAATGAATTGCCACTTTCCCATACATATATATATATATATATATATATATATATATATATATATATATATATATATATATATATATATATATATCAGTAATTTTAATGAAAAAAAAGTACATTTTTCTTAGTAATAGTGACACCTGTTGTTTAGTGTGATGGACTCCCACGGTTGGGTACAGGAGCATAGAAGTTTATAATTAAAATTGTTTTCCATAAGAAACATGAAACTATCATACATGGCCTTATAAACAGCCTTTTATTTCATAGTGGGGTGGGTGGAGTAAAGCTGTGATTATTTTTATTACTTTCTGACCATCTAGTTTGCCATTTACCATGTCCATATAAACTAAAGCTCCAGCCAATATCAGATTTGACTACTTGTTTCAAGCTATGGCACTTGGAAACAAGTGTTGTGACATGTGGCAAATGTCCAACTGTCTTGGTTAATAAGATTGGCTAAATTTCAACGAGAAACAGGTAAACCAGTATACCTGTATGTACGAAGCCAGTGAATGTTATTCAAGCCAAAGAAACTGCATCTATTTATATAAATACACATGGACAGAGAATATTTTCTTGAAGTACTAAATGTGACAATTGCCCACAGTCACTTGGGGGCTGAAAATCAATAAATACTAATTTTCAAAAAAAAAATCATCCGCTATACGTATATAAATAAACAAGTTGTGAAACACGGCACCGAGTAAATCGACACCCTGTCGGTTTCAAATGTCGATTTCTTACCTTAAAATGCGAAACAAAAATTTTAGAGGGGATCAGGTGTTACGTTAATAACCATTGTTCATAATCGCTAACTTGGTTTTATTCAAAA